CTAAAAAGGTTACACTTAGTTATTGAGATAAGATAATTTTCCATGACCAAAACAGAGAATACTAGTGAATGCAGGAAAGCAGCCAAACTGATTTATGAATCTGAGCTTCTTGGAAATACAGCAAATGAACAACCAGAGGTCATTGTGGACTGCAGAGTACAGCTATTGGGGCATCTTCTTGACATGGCCAGAACACTTTTAACTAACTGCCTTCCATGTTGGTTTGCTCCCATTAGCAAAGTCCCTGAGAGGGGAAGCAGAACAGCTAAGCTTTATTCACTGTAGGCTTTAATCTTGAAGTTTGGGAATTGGGAAGATTTTGTCACTTATTTTTGAACTCATGGAAAGAAGGGGTTGATAGCAACAGCTTACCCCAGTTAGCAGGCAGGCTCCCCACACAGCTGTGCTGGCCTATTTCAATTAGGATCCTTTTGGACTGACATCACCTCTGGTATGCCAGTCCTAAGCTGCTCATGAGCCAGTACTTCCAATCAAGCCAAAATTCAACCACCTGGTATGGTTTTTATGATGTAGACAGAAAATGACATGAATTTGTCTCCTTCTGGTGAAAACACCAAGCTTAAAGGCAGCTCTCTGAAGAAAATTTGCAATAATGGCAAGACTGTAAAACTTGATTTAGACACATTTTTCTATGATTATCTTAACAAGCTAAACCATTAGGCTATTTATGGTGATTGAAGGGATGTTCTCACTCAAGAAAAGACTCTGGTCCTCATGCTATGAAGAGGTCACTCCTGGGTCACTCTAGTCATGAGGTCATAGAAACAGTAGAAAATATGCTTGCTGAGGAAAGGTCAGGATGGGACTTAGATAATTGAACCTGAAAAAGTGTCATTTCTGGAACCTGAAAGATACACAAATTAAAAGCAGAACTGTCACTTAACCAAAGAAACTGGGACTATCCACATGAAGCCAGAGAACACAGAAAATGTGGAGGACAGAGTCATGTAATGCACTCTCTGTAAGTCCTTCTGCCTTTTAATTGAGTTCTCAAGCACTTCTGATGTCCGTAAACAGAGAGGTGTTCTTCTAGTTGCTGCACCAAATGCAGAAGTTTGTAAGCCACTACTACCTTTTTCCTGGGAAACTTAAAACATATATTTTGATTAAGCCACAATAAAGGAGAGGACCAATACGCCAGATCATGTCTCATTCTAATGCAATGCCTGTGAACAACGTATGAAAATAAACTGAGATTTAAAAAAATGAGTACCTTGCATATACTTCACTGATTAAAAATATTCCCCAAATCTTGACTTTAGATTTGGTATGAGACCAGAAGCTTTGTACCACTCCTAAATTAGAGCCCTAGCCTACCTGATGCTGTGCCAGTGGATTGCTTTCCATTTTATCCATACATATTGAGAAAAGAACACTAATACTTATTAACAATCATATAAATGTCAAAACACAGAGATTCATTTATTCCTTCTCTTTTTCTCTCAAAAGTCTTCACTTTTTATAGGATCTTTCAAGGAGAAACTTTCCTGGTGTAATAGGATTCTTCTGTAGTTCTCTAGTGACCACTATTGGATATTCTTCCCTCAAGTTATATGAAGCCATAGAACTAGTTCACAAGAGAACACCATTAGGGGCGAAGAGCTCGAGAAGGCAAGAGCCTTCCCAAAGACAGAAAGAAAGGAATTTCAAGATAAATGGCTCACTATGAGAAAAAGCCTTAAGCTTGATTTAAAGACAGTATGAGAGTAAGAAATAGATGTAGAAATGCTTGTGCATGTACACACACACACACACACTGTTGGAACAGGCCACAATCTGCTGTAATAAAGGATTTAACGTTCATTCCACAAGCTAATGGTGCTTCTCGCCATCCAAGATAGATCCACTTAGATAATAGTGGAAAAGAGTGCCAAAGGAACTGAAGGAATGGGCTATTGTGTTTGACTGGTTTCCATGTATAAATTAGTACAGAGGAGAAAAAGAAATTCAACAGAAAAACACATGTACTTTATTATAATTCCTATTGTGACTCTTGCAACTCTCACAATAGCAGGCAAAGAGTGTAAAAGCACTTAAACGAAACAAAAAGCAAATGTAAATTTGATTAAATGTCTTTCTGACAAGTGATTTGACTTCAGGTGTAAAAGGACACATGTCGATGCTGGGCATGGCTTTTGCCACATTTATTTTGAACTAAACAATTGAGACAAAGGAGGGGGAATAAAAAAGGGGTGCAGAGTCAGAAGATTGGGAAAGTCATGTTATATGGCTTAATCTATGACTGTCCTACAGTGTCCAGAGTATAAAGTAATCTATGATGTGTTTCTGGGCATGAAAATATGGGTGGCAACTTCAAGTAGGTACAAAAGACACAGGAATCTCATTTTCTCAGGAATGATGTTCTAGGAGCATTTTTACAAAAGTGAGGCTTGGTGACATTCAATATTTATACACACTCAAGAACCAAGTGCTGACACAGATGATTTAGCTGTCAATAAAATGAAGGCTGTTTTGATGAGGTAACCAGTGGACTTGCCACTACATAGACAGTATGTTTTCCAATTAAGTTAAATTGATCTTTTGAAATGCTTAAATTAATTCTACAAGTAGACAAAATCATGTAATGTGTGAAAGAATTATAGGAAAATCAAATCCTCCAATTCCACTTGTCTATCAATCCTGAAGGGTGAGCTGACGATGTCAAACTTCTAAGTCATCTACAGGTCAGGCTAAAGTTCACTTTCTCTTAAATCAATAATTCATTTTGGTGACAAACATAAAGGCAATTAATGAGCAAGTACAACACATGTCCATAATATCATACATAGCTTTAATGGCCCACTTGATACAAAAAGCCTACATATCTCTAACAAAGAGTGCAGACCAACCCACGTCATTGCTCCCACACTGCTGAACAATTTACAGCCATAGGACAAAGCAAACAATTTATGTTCTCTCCATTATTTGACCTTTGGTTCATATGTGAGCATGCTTCCCTATCTGTAAAATGGGTTTATAAGTGCCTTATTTGCACAATATTGTGAGGATTCATTGTAATGCTTTTCAAACAACTAACCTAGTGCTGGCCACCTTCAGATGCACAATGGATAACTGCTGATACTAACACTGTTTTTGCTCTACACGGGGATGTGTCCAGGCACTCAACATCTCGTTCCTTCTTTGCTAGCACAACTCTCAGCTTTTCAATCACTTAAACATAGACATAAAACAAACCTGTTTCATTTTAACTTTATATTACAATTATTGCAATTCAAACTTATGTTAAACTGTTCTAACATAAGCAAACGCTTCTTCTACATAAATACAATTACACACTCATATGCATATATGAATATTTAGTATATTAAAGAGGATTATAATGCATTTAGCAAATGGGTAGAAAATAAATCTATTCTTGAATGGGAGAGTGTTATTAAAGTATAATGAGCTCATACATCCACATGAAAATATCAAAAAAGAAATGTGTACTGGTAATTTGCTTTATGATGCAATTTAATGGGAAAATAACAAGACTGTTTAAAGAAGGAAAGACGAGACAAACTAATGATGTATATATACCAGTAACATATCCCATATGGAAAAAATGAGACACCTTTTATAAATTGCTCACTCTGTAAGTCATAAAGCCCACCTAAACATTGTGCTTTTTATGCTCCTCAGAATAGCTAAAGCTTATAGTCTACTCTTGCTTAAAATCTGGTTTTCCTTTAAATGTCCATGAGAAATTGAAAATAAATTTCTATTTGCAAAGAAGAATAATTTTAACTAAAATGATTAACACGTAAGAATTTATTAAGATGTAGAATTGTATAAAATAGTCACTGTCTGATCGCTCTATCTGCTGAATCTTCCTGGAGCTCTTTAAATTTGCACCAAACGGTTCACTTCTGTTCTTCAAAATTATTGCCAGAATAAATCAAAATTTTGCCAGAATCAAAGTAGAACAAAATTTCCTTTGCCATCAATAGAGCAATGCAAACTTTGTATTTGTTCCATTTTTACCTGTTCTCTTCTTGCCTTGCTACCTTGTGAGGGCGTTCTAGCATCCATAAATGTGACAAGGAGAGCTACAGTCACGTTTGTTTGGAATCAGTGTGTGCAAATTTTGGAATCAAACCTTCAGATGAGGTTTACTAAACTGCATGCCCAGAACACTCTGGTTTTAAAAAATGTGCATTGCTAATAATATTTTCAGTGTAGATTTTTTTTGGACAGTAAATGTGCATTTTCTGCCCATAAAACCAAGTATGAGTCACAACGGAACATTTACTCTGAGTCAAAAATGCAATGTGTGCTGATGTTGAAGAGCACAGCATCTTATCACTATAGCTGTAGAAAGCAGCTGTACAAAAAGTCATCATCTTTTTTCCTTCTTCAAAAGTAGATCTGAGATCAAAGACTCTAATCCTCAATTCATAAATACTAGTATCAACTCATCCATAAATGACTTGAAGTAATTATGAGCTATAATCTGGGTTGGCTGCAAAGAGGGTCCTCATTCCTTTTTTTACCTGGTTCCACAGTACATGTATACAGAGGGCAAATAATTCACACAAGGCATTCACTGCTCCTCACAGCTTATCCTTCAAAAAATTCCAGAAACACCACAGCGAGTGAGTTTGATTTCAGGATGTCTGTTATCCAAATTCCAAGCATACACACAACCATTTATACAGTCCACAGTTTACAGGCTGTATGCAGTGTACCCTACAGTTCACGTCTCAGTGTCAGTATTATCATATACCTGTAACTAACTACACCAAGCCTTGCGGACTTCACTTTGTTTGGAAAGTTAGGGTTAAAGTTCCAGAAAGAGTTGGGGTGTTTTTTAGTTGTTGGTTTTTGCTTGGAGTTTTTAAAAAGTCGTGTGAATTCTTTTACCTGAGGTTTTAAGATCAAGATCACACACACCACCACCACCACCACTACCACCACCAACTTCAATAGCACCCAGACTAAATGGCAATAGCAATGTATTGAAATGAAAAGGCATTTACCAGGAGTAGGAAAGCCAGAAAGAGAAGCGGTCTGCCAGGAGTTGCCCGACGGCAGCATTCCATGCTTGGATCCTTGCCGGAATCCGAATCGGACGCTGAATAAACTGCTAAGTGCTCCTCTGCCTGCTGTCACATCCAGGGCTGGTGCTAACACTCCAGCCCTGCCTATCGGCTTCCATCAGCCCCGCTCACATTTCCTGACCGAGGGTGGGTGGGTGGATGGGTGGGGGGTAAGCTGAATGGAATCTCTTTCCGAGCAGGCAGCCAGCCAATCAGGCTCCTGCTAATCAGACATGCTGAATAACAAAGCCAGGGGGACAGAGAAAGTGTAACAGTGCGAGCAAGGAAGGAGGAAGAGGACGGAAAAGAAAGGAGAGCCAGCAGCAGAGCCAGGAGAGAAATGCCAGGGATGCAGAAGTGCAACAGATGAAGTAAAGCCCTGTGCCTTTGACTAACCTGGTTCGTTCTTCATGAGATACGTTTCTGTTTGCCATTTGCCTGTCCTGATGTCTGTTGCTTTGTAAAGCACAGTAGCTCGCTGTGACCGTGTATTGTTCCATTCAGGAGAGAAACTTAATCCCTGTCAATATATAACATATGTCATAAAGGCAAAGAACCATAGTCAAAAGCAGACGTAATGTGTCCTTTAAACGAATTCTATACAACTGCTTTTTCCTCTTCCATAAAGTTCTTGTTTCCACCCTTGATTTGGAAAAGAAATAGAAGTTTTTGAAGGTTTCTCACTAAACTTAACCATGGAATAAGTTATCAAAGACATGATTTAAAAAAGAAAAAAAAAAGGCAAGTTGTTTCTTTGTAAAGTGACGATTTGAAACATCCAAGGTTTGCTAATTGCAAGGGCACAATTAGAAATTTAGATCCCCTAGGTTAAAAAGAAGCTCTTAACAAAGACTTCAGGATGAGTGGGGCTGAAATTTGCGGTTGAGGAACTGCCTGGTTTTGACACCTTGCCAACTCTTAACTATCTGCCTTAGCAGGAGAAAGGAAAGAAAGGGTGAATTAAATCCTCGGTTAACCCTTAAGTTTCCTTTTAACCAACACTTTCAGTCTCCTCCTTACCTGACCCCATGCCCTTTCTTGGAGCTGCTATACTACAGGAAAGGATGAACCAGGTTCTACCTCCTCTCCCACCCATTATGGCAGGATGGGACAGGGTGGACAGGTTGACCTCTGAGGTCCAGTGCTGCTCTAGAGGAAGTGCTAAGGAGCACTGGAGTGACAAGGAGCCAGGCCACCACAAACAGAAGATCAGGAAGCTTGTGAGACTGCTTAACGCACAGCAAGCAAGGATTGACACAGCCAAAGGAGGATTTTATTACTTGTAGAAAAGTGTTATGTGTTGGACAAGGACCTATTCTGTCCTTATCTGCTAAGGAAATCATTGAGTTTTGAAGCAATGAAATAGCAAAGTTGACCTTGCATTTCCATAGGGTGTGGTACCAGGAAGTTATTCCTTTGCAGATCTGATAATCCAGCTATATATGCAGTGGGAATAGAAGGCACTTAGATTTAATGCATACATTACTAAAAATACTGACAAGAGATCTGAAATACACAAGTAGGGAAAACCTGGTTGCCATAATAGACATTCCTGCAGGGTTGCTTTTCAAAAAAAAAAAAGCAAAAGAAAAGCAGGTTGTTCAATTTTGGTTACTTCCTTCATATGGTATATCAATTAAAGAGGGAGGAGCTTTATAAGGTCTACATTCAACCTGTCACAAAAGTCAAGGGCAGACAAGGAATCACCTCTGTCCTCAGTACCAAACATGCTGATATGGAGGAAAATGGACAGTACAAATCCATAAAAAAAGGGGGTCCTATTTTTGAAATGTTTTCCCCTTGCAGAAATACTAGTTTTACAAACCTCTCAAAAACTAGTTAATGTTCACAAGTAAGAGTAGAGTCTTCACAGATAGATGTAAAAATGCTACACTGCTCTCTAAAATCTTCAGCACTTTATTAAAAAGTTGAGTGATGAAAATAAACTTTCAATCATAAAGCTCTGCTATCTTTCTCTCTTTTATACACCAGAGCTTTTTGCTGCAAGTTTTTTTTCCTCCCATTAGGGTCATTCACTAAAGCGCTCCAACTAGTTCTACAAAATGGAACATTTTACCTACATCATTTCCTCCCTCTTTACACAAAAACATCACTCATTAGGCAGAGCCAAAGCAACAAAGGGGTGTGTGAAAAGGAACAGTAGCAACATTGCTAATGGTAAGGTATCATTTGTTGAGGGGGGAAAAATTGTCATGATAAGAAAACAACCACTTGTATGGGAGTCTAGATTCCTTTCTGTTTTGGAAATGAATACCGTCTTCTGAGTTTTGATGGGCATGCCACTGTGTATAGCATGATGGTCACCTTAAGGAAGTCCCTGAATAACTCAACTTTTTTTTTTTTTTTTTTTTTGGTGGGACTGGGGTTTGAATTCAGGGTTTTGTGCTCAGAAAGCAGGTACTCTATTGCTTGAGGCACACCTGCAGTCTATTTTGCTCTGGTTATTTTGTAGATGGGGTCTTGAGAACTATTTGCTGGGACTAGCCTTGAAACATGAACCTTCCTATTTTAGCCTCCCAAGCTAGGATTACAGGGATGAGCCACCAGTGCCCCACAATAACTCAGCTTTTTAAAGTGAAGTCATCAATCATTTATTGAATGCCTGGAGGATACGCCCAGTGTCTCATGCTCTCATCTATGCTCATAGCATTTTCTTTTCTGTGGGAAGAACCTGAAGAAATGAGAAAAAGCAATTACTCAGTTCAGAATCAACACAGCACAGGGAACTCTAAGTTTACCATAACTTCAGAAAAAGGACAACAAAATCAAGTTGGGTTAGAGTAATTGGGGAATGTTTTGGGAATGAGCTAATTTTGATAATTCCCATAGATTGTGTGATAGCTTTAAAGTTAACAGAATGATTTTACATCCACAATCTCATTTGACCTTTCTGACTTCTTTGTGAAGTTAATTAAAGGCTAAATCTTTCTTTCTGTTTGAAACTGAGGCTCAGAGAAGTGAAATGGCTTGACTAAGGCCTCTCAGGTTAGCACTGGCCCATGAACCAGGGTCTTCTGGCTCCCCGACTACTCCTATCTGAAATTCACATAGCTGCACATTTCTATGTATACACTTGCACATACACACAGATTCAGACCTTGGCAGCTGGCTGCGAGGGCATGTGATGGAAGGGGATGTTTACAGCAAAGGTGAAGGAGCAGAAGGCAAGCTACTGTGTCTCCTGGGGGTATGCATTACCTGATGGTGGAAGGTATCTTATTTTAGTCCATAGCTTTTCTGTCTCCCAACTTTGTCATTTCTAAGACCCTTTTCAGTGCCAAGGGAAAATAACATAAAACTCTAGGTAATCTAGATCACACTAACGGCAGCTGGAGAAAAGCCCCTTATGGCATGTGAGCAGGGCGTTGGCCGAGTTCCTTTTTCCTCTTCAGGTATCTAAATTAAAGCCGGCTGCAAGTGTCTGTGCACAGCAGCAGCAGAAGCCACGGCAGCCGTAATCCTGGTTACCAGCTCCATGCACAATATATTAGGTGAAATGAAAGCAGCAGCAAGACCGAGTGTCAGGACTGTCTGAAGCATCATTCCAAATGGTATGGATTTAACAATACTTAATTTAAAAAACACCAGCTTGGACAGAAGCAAGCTGTTAACATTCAGTGTGCTTTATGGCAGGAAAGAGTGAGCTAAACTTTTGGAATTTCTCTCCTGGGGGAGAAAGCCTCGCTCCAGAGCCACCTGTCTGGTCCTTGAGGTTGAGCCTCTTTCTTTGGCTCTGCAATTGCAGGAACTGGTAGACTGAGGACAGAGGGTGTTCTGGAAGGAGTAAAGAACTCCAGGGCAAGACTTTGAAGAGCTGGGTAGGGTCTAAGCTCCCTTCTTTAAGGAGGCAGACATGGTAGCCTGTGAGCCTTCTTTTCTATGGTTCGTAGTGAAGTTGTTTGATATCCCTGGCTAATTCAGAAAGTCAAAGGCAGAAAGATGGTGGACAGGTGAGTAACATTACCTTGCAGGAGGCAGACTGCAGTTCTCAGGGACAGAACTGGAACATAAGTGTGAATTCCAATTCACCTAGCTTCTATTTAACACCAGAGCCACTTGACCATCAATTACAATTTTCAAGTCATCTTCACACATGACCTAATGTGCTGTAAGCAGAAACTATGAGATAGTAGGTATCTACAACTTGAAGATAGGAAATGGATGTGCTCATGTAATAAATGGGCTCAATAAAGTTATTCATTTAGCAGGTGGTAAACTTGGGCCCTATCTAAGGCTGTTTGAATTTCTCTAAGACTACTACCTGAGGAACTGACTCATAAAAATAGCTACATTTATTGAAAGCCTTCCATGTAGCAGGCCCTATTGTAAATACTTTGAATTTGTTACTTCCTGCTATCCTTTTTGACAACCCTAAGGGTGGGTACATTGATTCTCCTCATGTAGATATTATTTATGGTACGCTAGCAGTCAGTGTTCATCCCAGCCCTACATTCAGAGGTCAGAAAACCCCAAACCACACTTTCTAGGCTCCCTTGCAGCTACAGTATCAGATGTAATTTAGATTTGCCCCTCTGAAGCAGTATCATAAGATTTGAAAGGAAAAAGTGAGGTGGAGGCCACACTTTGCTCTATGATTATAAAAATGGCCACAGAGCAATGTTGTCTGTCTGCAAACATGCTAGCCAGTTGCTACCTGTGGGAGGTTCACATTAGAAATTTTTTTTCTTTCAGCATCTCCAATTTTCTCTATGTTATTTTATACCTTATAATAAATCACTTTCTACTTAAATTACTAAGAATAAATTCTGTTCTCTGCAAGAATGTTGACTGAAACATCCTCTTTAACAGAGGAGAACATTGAGACATGGAGAACTAGAGAACTTGCCCAAGACTGCACATCTAAAGAGGGGAAGGGCTAAGGTCTGTGCCCCCAAAACTCTGTGTCCAAGACCATGAAGCAATACTCTTTGAGGCACAAAGGGTCATGGGAGTTCAGAGCAGGCCAAGGTCATTGCTGTTTTGAGGAGTCAATGAGGAAGACCCAAATGGAAGAAATAGGAAGGGAAGAAGTCCTGTCTAGAGACCCTTAGGAGATGA